ACCACCACCTCTGCTGGCCAGGATTTCTGGGAGTTGAAGTCCAAGAACTTTTGGAGGCCCAAGGTTGGGGGGAAAATCACTGTTATAAAGGGTTAAACAACAAGAGATGGATTCCTAGAAAGGAACTTAGATTAGAAATTCTGGTGGTTTGAACAGAGAGAGAAGATTCCTAGAGAGTGATCCTCCGAGACAAGAATAGAGATCAGAGAGACACGGATTCCTAGAGGGAAAACACGCCAGACAAGAGAGAGAGTCTGGCTTTTTAGCGAATGAAGAGAGGCTGGAAAGGTGAGCAGGAGGACTGTGGGCTTTCAGAGCAAATATTACCCCCCCTCGCCAAGTGCTCAATCCTGTCTTGTGGGTATTTGATACTTTGCAGATGGTTGGAAACATGATCCTTGAAGAAGCCAAAAAGCGATGGCTGTTTTAAGGGCGGGTTTCAGCTTCCTTTTCCTCTGCCCACTGGGAATTGCATGGAGGTGAGGCTGAACTTGAGTGTTTTTTTTCCCTGCCCTTTTTGTTAGGATTGGGTGTCCGTTGCCCTTCCCACACCTCTGGCACCTTCGATCTGGCTAGAGTAGTCAATTGACTAGATGGGTGGGGTATAAATGCAATCAATCAATCAATCAATCAATCAATCAATCAATCAATAACCCTTCCAGGGGAAGTGGGGGGGAGCAGCCAATTCAAAAAGGGGCAGATGCACTCCCCCCCCACACACAACACACCCAACAGGCAACACCCACGTCTGAAGAGGTTCCTGATTTCTCCTCTTCTGCCAAACCAGGAGCCCTTCCCTTCCATTCGAACCAGTTTCCAGGCCGTTTGGACCAGTAATTAAGGTAAAATGGGATCTAATGAAGGAGAAAGGAATGGTATATGGGGAAGGGAAAGGGAGGAGAAGAGAAAGGAAGCAGGAGGGGGAGAGGAAAAAGACCAGGTAGGTGTCTGATAAGAAAGAAAGAGAGGCAGGGCGAGAAATAAACCAGTGGGAACAGATCTGAACGGCTCAGGTTTTAATCTGGCACTCTTGTGGAAGGATCATCGCTTGTTTATATAAACTAGTCATCAATCTTGTATATACAATTAAATTAACTTTAATACATTCATTTTATTAATAGCACACCATGGTGTCCCAAAATTAAATTACCATAAATAAAGCAGAAAGGTAAGCAAGAAAAGCTTTAGTTCCAGTTATGGGTTGGATTGAATGTATACGATTTCACAGAGTACAGCAACGCTGTCGTGTGTAGAGGATGTAGGCAAGTGCTGTAATTTGGGTGAGTAAATATCTACATCTGTGTTACCTGTAATGGGAATTGCTTGTTAGGTACGCCTGTTAGGTCAGAACGGTGAGGGTTTTCTTTTTTATATATTAGGCCAAAACAAAAGAAAAATAAAGGAGACAAAAATGTTGTGGCACCTTAAAGACTAACTGCTATACTTTAATATGGGTTTTTATGTACAAATCCACTTCCTTGGGCATATATAATTCGTTGATATGGATTCTTCTAATCTGTTTAGTTTGAACAGGGGCTACTTTGTACTAGTCATGATTGACATCTAAAGTTTGGTGGGTGTGCTCAGCCAGAAGCAGGTGTTATGCAAAATCTTATTTTATTTTAGCTTATTGTTTGCTTATGGCACTTGGAATATTATTTAGGTCCTTGGGAAGGACCTTCAGCCGTGGGATGAGAACGCTACAGCGGATTGCTCAAGACTAATGGGGATGTGACATAACACTGTCCTTGAGAGCTGTCCCATTCAAAGTCATCATGGCCGTGGTGATGCCCAGCCCCAGGAAGGAGGAGAAGCCAGACACTTACTTATATATTTGTCTCTTTATTTAAGACAATTAAGTAAAGCTTTTTTTAACATAAGTATTTTCGTGGTTGCCAGCAAGCACCGGATTGCAAAGCATCTTCCGACCTTGAGAGCATTATTAAGCATTTCTTCACTGAACATCTCTTTGGCTTCATAGGAATTGATTTTCCTTTGGATGTTCTTTGCCTTAAGAGAGAGCCTGGCAGAAAAAAGAAAGCCATTTTTGATCACGTCGGAGGCAGGTTGTATAAAGAATTGGAGAACAGAGAAGAGGAGCTGACCAACCTAGAAGTTAGAACTTCTCAACCCCCTCAGGCCGGTTCTGAATGACTCTGGGATAAAAATGGGGAGACCCCCTTCAATTTAGACGTCCAGCGCTAAAGCCACAGCAACAAGCAAAGGCTTAAGGTCCTCGGCCTCATGATCCTGGAAGAGTTTCTAGCTGTCCTCAGACTCAAGATGGAGAGCTGCGTCAGAAAGGGTGGAGTGGAGGCCAGTTCTCAGGGCGTAGCCATGGCTGAAAGTTTCCTCCTGAGCCAGGCAAGGGAGCAAAGGCTGGAAGAACAGCAGGTGAGAAACATTTCATTGTGGTCGTTTCAACGGGTTCCCAAAGAGGGGAAATCTCGTTACGATGTCACTCAAACAGGCATAACTCTGGGAGGCAGATGTCTTCAAGGGGAGGAAGATCCACAGATGACCTCTGTGCCGCTAGATCAGAGGTCGTCAACCCCCAGTCTGCGGCCTGGTGCCGGTCTATGGCCTGAGCTGGACTGGGCCACAGAGACAGACCTCCCCCATTCACGCCCCTCCCTACAGCTGCTTTGCACACGTGCGCACATGCCAGCACTGGTGTGAGCACTCCTTCTTCCCTTCACGCATGTGCCTGTACAATGGGGTTGGCATGCGTGTATGAGGGCGTGCAGGTGCTCCTGTGCAAGCACGAAGGGGTGGCGGAGTGCTCATGCTGGTGCTAGCACACACACGTGTGCTCCCCCACTGCTTCGCACATGCGCCCAAGAGTGCATGTGCAGGGGGTGCCCTCCTTTCCTCAGAGGCTCAGCCGGTCCGCGGTCCCAAAAAGGTTGTGGACCACTGCACTAGAGAACCTAATGGGCAGCAAGACTACCCCGTCCGTGAGCCTTTGCATCTCACATGAAGCTTTACGACTTCCAGGGACCACCAAAGCAGTTTTCTTCATTTTGTGCGTAAACTGTTGTACTGTATGGTCTTCTGTGAGGAAAAAATTGTTATATTCCCTTCTAGGATCCGGTGACCTTTGAGGAGGTGGCTGTGTATTTCTCCGAGGAGGAGTGGGCCTTGATGGATGCAGATCAAAAGGCGCTGCACAAGGAAGTCATGGAGGAGAATTATGGGATGGTGGCTTCTCTCCGTAAGGCTCCTTCTTGCTCTTTGTTTGATCACATACGTTTAAAGTTGGGGATGATCATCATTGTAATGCTAGCCTCTTCTGCTACTCTCTGTCCTTCTCTTCTTGCCTGCCTGGCTTCTGGAGCGTCTGCAGAAGGAGCCCTCAGATAGAAGACCTTAGTCAAAACTGCCCCAGAGAGTGGCAAGCTTAGATATTAGGAATTCCATCATTATCTCTTTTTGGAAGTACAGTGGTGCCCCGCATAGCGATGTTAATCCGTTCCGGATTAATCGTCGCTATGAGGAAACATCGCTAAACGGAATGGAAAAAGCCCTATGGGGCCCCAAATCACTGTTCAGCGAAGTTCCTCCATAGCGCCGCCATTTTCGCGCCCTCAGTAAGTGAGGGCAGGGCGTGAAAATGGTTGCGGCGGCCATTTTGGGCACTCGGCAGCCATTTTGGAACCGCTGATCAGCTGTTCAAAAAACATCGCAATGCGAGGATCGGTAAGCGAAACGCTTACCGATCATCGCAATGCCATGTTTTACCCATTAAAACATTGCAATGTGATCGCATTAGCGATCTAAAAAAATAGATCGCTATGCAGATTCGTCGTTAAACGGTGCACTCGTTATGCGAGGCACCACTGTAATGGGAGACTCCAAGATTCTTCATTCATTCATTCATTCCAATCCATTCCATTCCATTTAAAGATGTAAGAAATATTTTGCTGGTTTAGGCCGAAGATCCATCTAGTCAAGCAACACCCTGCTTTCTCTTGGGTCTTTCTCTATGCCTCTAGGAAGCTCATGGTCAGGGTATGAAGGCATTACTCCACTTTTGATGCAGTTCCTGAGCAACTGGAATACAGAAAATAGATTGCTCTTGAACATGGAGTCTCTAACTTAATGGGACTTGGTTTTCTACAGTACTTCAATTCAAATTCAATATTTTTAACCTTCAGGTCCAAGGTTCCCTTCCCTGTGTGAGATCATGAGTAGAGAACCTTTGGCCTTACCGGTGGCTTGAACTACAACTCCCATGATTGCATATGATTGTCCTAGTCAGGCTGGCACAGTAGAGCCAACGTTTTGCCCCCTTTCCGTTGAACTCGGAGCTTAAACAAGGAACTTTTTTGGCCAACGGCTCCTGGGATGTCTGGCTATGTTTAAATGCGTTGCTTCCGATACCACTGCTTCGCAACCTTGGGTCCTTAGAGGTTTGTTCTTGAACTACAACTCCCAGGAATCCTGGCCAGCACAGCGAGTGCTGAAGGCTTCTGGGAGTTGCAGTCCAGGAACATCTGGGGGACCCAAGGCTGGAAACCACCTCTGAGAAGGATACTAAGACTGGTGCTGAATCAAAGTTAAAGCCTAGGGATAACTGATGTCGTTTTGACCCTGTTCTTTTAATAACACCTTCCTTTTTTCTATTCAAGCCGAGTGGTGCCACGTTCAGTGCCTCGAGGTTGGCTACGAGTGTTGTAAGAGCCTGAGTGAAGGGGAAAACATACATGCCCAGAGGGGCAGCTAAAGGTTGGTGGCAGCAAAGGAGGAAGAGAGGAAAGAAGTGAAGTTTATTAAAGTAAACACATTTATTCCAGGGATAATTTAAAGAGAAAGTCTACTAATTAACTGCCTTTCTCTTTAAATTATCCCTGGAATAAATGTGTTTACTTTAATAAACTTCTCTTCTAATTAACTGACTTTCTCTTTAAATTATCCCTGGAATAAATGTATTTATAATAAACTTCACTTATTTCCTCTCTTCCTCCTTTGCTGCCTCTAGAGGAGCAGCAAAGACTAGAAGACGGGAGATTTGACATTGGTACAGGAGATAAATCATGTCTCTAGCTGAGGAGCTAGAGGTTGGAAGTTTGATTCCCTGCTGTGCCTCTCCGGATAAAAGCCAGCCTGTGCAGCCTTGGGCAAGCTGCACAGACCCGGGGAAAACCCCAGAGGAAGGGAAGGAGAAACCACTTCTGAGTAGTCTTTAACTGGAAAACCCTGGAAAGGATTGCCATAATTCAGAACTGACTTGACAGGACATGAAGAACATCAGCTGATTTCACTGGATCTGCAAATGCTAACAACAGAATCAGGGTCAAATCATGTCAATATCCGTTCCTCTTCTCTATCTCTCAAAATTCATTCAGTTGCAGGAGTTTGCTGCTTTCCGATTCCACCTCTTTCTCCGGCAATGTCAAATTCTGCCTCTCTTTTTTCCCTCCCAGGAGGTGATGGACAGGAGGTGGAAGTTGAAGAAGAACCGTTAAAAACAAGGCAAGGAAGTGCCGACTGTAGACAGACAGAAGAGGCCATGTCTTCTGAAGTAAAACAGAAGAAGGGGAACAAAGCATCTGTTTTTCCCAGTGGTGATGTATGTGAAATCCCAGCCCAAGACAATGTCGCCACAGGGAAGGAAAGCCATTGGTGTCACATGTGCGGAGTAGGTTTCGTTTCCGAATCAAGCCTTATCACCCATTGGCGAATCCACACTGAGGAGAAACCATTTAAATGTTCGGACTGTAACAAGAGTTTCAGCTACAAATCGACTCTTCAGAGGCACTTGAGAATCCACACCGGGGAGAAGCCATTTAAATGCGTGGAGTGCGGGAAGAGCTTTATTTGGAAATACCTCCTGCTGTCGCACCAAAAAATCCACACCGGGGACAGACCGTTTAAATGCCTGGAGTGCGGAAAGACCTTTAGCAGCGCTAAATATCTGACGTCCCATCAAAGAGTCCACACAGGAGAGAAACCGTACAGATGCCAGGAATGTGGGAAGAATTTTAGTCACAGGGCAAGCCTCTGTTCCCACGTCAGGATCCACACAGGGGAGAAGCCGTATAAATGCCTGGAGTGTGGAAAAAGCTTTACTCAGCAATCGAACCTCATTGTCCATCAGAAGAGCCACACCGGGGAGAAACCGTACACGTGCTTGGAGTGTGGAAAGAGGTTTAGCCATAGCGCAAGCCTAGCCCACCATCGGCACCGTCACACTGGAGAGAAACCGTACGAATGCGCCGAGTGCGGGAAGTGCTTCAGCGTCAGCAAATCCCTCATTGCCCATCAAAGGATCCACACGGGGGAGAAACCGTTCCAGTGTCTGGAGTGCGGGAAGAGTTTCAGGTGGAGGTTTGTCCTCCTTTCACATGAAAAAACACACACCGGGGAGAAACCCTACGAATGCTTGGAATGTGGGAAGCGGTTCAGGCACAACGGCAGCATCGTTCGCCACCAGCGGCTTCACAGGCGGAATAAGCTGTACCAATGGCCGGAGGGCGGAAAGGGGTTTTGTGAGGGCCCAAACCTACATTTGCCCCAAGGAATTCACCCAGGGCAAAACCCTTACGAATATTTGGAGCGTGGAGAGAGCTTCTCTCTGAGTAGCAGCCTCATTTTGCCTCAAACTGTCCCCAGCCAATTGCTAGGCCAAAATGGGGCAGACCCACTGAATCTGCTGATGAATGAACAGGCAATGCTTAGGTAAGCCCAATTGGTCCCATGGGCCTACTTTGGCTGGGATGAGCAGTCAGATTTAGGCCCACGAATCCTGAGACGAGAACCGACTAAAAGGTTTTTCTGTCTGTGCTTTTCTTTCCGCTCTCCCTAACCTTATATAAAAAGTACCTAGTGCAGTATAGTAGATAGAGTGATGGGCGAGAATTCAGGAGGCCTGGGTTTGAATCCCCGCTCAGCCATGGAAAATCACTGAGGGATGTGAAACTGGTAAAATCACTCCTTAAATACCTCACTTACCTTGAAAGTCCTATTAGGGTTGCTGTAAGTCGGCTCTGACTTGACAGCACATAATTTACTAACCTTATAAAAGTGGAAATTGTTCAAATTTCGAAGAAATGCTTTTGCTGCCTTTTAGTGCTGTTGAGGTACAATGAGTTCTTCTAATTGTTTTTCCACCCTGTCATGTTTGATAGCTATTCTACTGTTTACAATAAAAACACCACAAATGTCCTTCCTAATGAAGCCTTCTAATTCCTTTGTCCAGTTCTCAATACTTTGTAATGCTTTCATCCACAAAGCTTGGAAGTAAGTAGTTACTTCATTTTTTTTCAAGAAAAATGTAATTCAGTTACATTGGATCTAACTTGACGAGGAATAGGTTTACTCCTTTTGTGCTGGAACACTTTAAAGTCACCTTTACACAGAACTATGGAGTAACACCTTACAAGTGGGGGCAGAAAGGCAGCATATACTGTAAATAAAATAAATAAAATAAGTAACATGATTACCTCCAACACTGTGGTTTTATTTAAAGAGTAATGTAAACAGTTCTTACTAGTTACCTCTGAAAGTTACTTTTACATAGCATTTTAAGAGGGATTTTGATGGCGGCTTTTCCTTTTTTTTGAGAACAGAAATATTCTTTGGAGTTTTGTTTCTCAATAATACAGTATGATAAATATTTCCAAGGTGCGCTATCAGAATTGGCCACTAGAGGGAAGAGGGAGCATTTCCTTCTCTTTTTCTGGTCCCCTACTCAATGGCAAAAACCCTGTTGGGTAAAATTACCCCTGAATAAGTTTGATGGTGTCTCCAAGCAGAGGGAGACACCCAGTTATTAAAAAGTGGATCCCAGGGCTCTCCTGATTCTCACTGCATATGAGTTGGACAGAAGCAGTAACTCTTTAATTGTTGGCAATCTCCACCGGTGGTGACATCACTCCAGTTATGAGGGTGGAATTTGCGCAACAGGATTTGAGCCAGTACAGTGGGGTCTTGACTTAAGAACGGCTCGAGTTAAGAACATTTTGACTTAAGAACCACTCTCATAGGAAAATATTGACTTGACTTACATACTTAGATTTGAGTTAAGAACTGAAAAAAAAACCACGTGAGAGGCAGGGAAAGTGCAAAATGTGAACTTTCAGTTAACTGTTGGCCAGTGAAAAGGGTGCCTGTCTGCTTCCTCACTCCTCCCAGCGTTTAGAGAGTGGATTGGGAGACAGTCTTCAGACTGCCTGGTACTGTCAATGCATTCCTATGGGAAATGCAGATTTGACCTGAGAACTTTTTGACTTGAGAACCGCCTTCCAATACGGATTAAGTTCTCAAGTCAAGACCCCACTGTATGTTAATAACATGAGTTACAATGGATGTCTTGCTTATTGGGAGAAATAATATTTACCTTATAGTGATGAGTGAGGTAACAACTTCCATTTAAAACATAAGGCCCTATTCTTATGGTGGAGAAGGAATGTCTCATGGTTCAAACGCAGCCAGCTGTGCCTTGTACAGCTGCTTCATGCTCTTTTGTGAGCATTTAGGCAATGTGAATTGCCCAATTTTTGTGAGCATTTAGGCAATGTGAATTGCCTCACAACCCAGTGGGTCATAGACACAGGACAGAATGCATCAGCTGCTTGAGTTACTGTCTTCTGTGTGTGATTTTTGCAACAGGATTTTGGTCTAAGTAACAAAAGATAAAGTCTCGTTATTTTTGAACAATATACTGTATTAGCCAAGAGATACTTCTTTTAAAATGTGACTGTGGTGGTAAACAGTTTTTTAAATACCTTGCTATTATAGTTCAGCGGTTTAGGTATTTGGCTGTGGAGCCAGAGGTTGGGAGTTCGAATCCTCCACTGGGCCTCCCAAAGAGACGAGCCAGCCTGGTTGCCCTTAGGCAAGCGGCACAGTCTCAGGACACCCCAGAAGAAGAAGGGAACAGGAAGCTACTTTTGAGTATTCTCTACCTGGAAGACCCTGAAAAGGATCGCCATAAGTCAGAATTGATTTGACAGCACATCGTGCTTTCTTGACAATAAAGGATGCCCCCATCTCTTTCCTTGGTGCCAAATTAGACAATACAGTATGTCTGGCTGGGGTTAGGGAAGCAGGAGAGCAACATAAGAAAACAGATTTTAACAGCTTAAACTATTTTTTTTTAATTTCCACATTTCATTTAAAATATTTTTCCCAGGTTTTGGCACTTATTGTTAGTTTAATTTGTGGATGTGTGTGTGTGTGTGTGTGTGTGTGTGTGTGCGCACACACACACACACACACACACAGAGTGGTGCCTCACATAACGAGCGCACCGTTTAACGACGAATCCACATAGCGATCTATTTTTTTAGACCGCTAATGCGGTCGCATTGCGATGTTTTAATGGGCAAAACATCGCATTGCGATGATCGGTAAGCGATGTTTTTTAAACAGCTGATCGGCAGTTCCAAAATGGCCGCTGGGTGCCCAAAACGGCCACCGCAACCTTTTTCGCACGGTCTCCTCGCTTACCAAGGGCGTGAAAATGGCGGCGCTATCTGGAAATGTGAAGGGTGATAACAGAGAAGTGGAGGTTAATCAAACATGAAGTCAGAAATAGAAAAGAGGGCAGAGTGGCAAAACGTTTGGAAACTTGCTGTAGCTGGTGCTAACGTCAGGCCATCCTTCCTCCAGAACACACTCATTGTGACATGGTCAGTAACAAATACTGCTTGTGGAGCCAGAGGTCGGGAGTTCGATTCCCCCCCTAGTGCCTCCTCGACGGGCTGGGTTCGATCATCCTTAGGGTCCCTTCCTGCTCTAGTTCTGAGAAACACAGACCACAGATGTTTTTTAAAAACTAAAGTAAAAACGCTCCACAAAATATACATGCACACACACTTTAAAGGGTTTGGAAACACAATCATTTGCCCAAGCAAGCCAAATGCCATGATCAGGACTGGTGGTATTTCATGTCTGGGGAGGGAAACCAAGTCTCAGGAATCTAAAAAAAGAAAGGGCAGAGTCCTTTGTGGTTAGCTTTCTCCTGGTGTATTTCTGTACAGCCAGGAAGAATGCCACGTCAGTCTATAATGGATGTTTATTCAGAAGTAAATAGTCCATAACTTGGCTTAAGGCATCAGTGCAAAGAAGCAGCGGCCATCCTTTCCTCTTCCCTCTTCAGAGGGCTTTCTTTTACTGTCGTGTCTACCCGACTGTGACCCTCCAGGTAGAAACTGCTTGGCCTTGTACTATATTTAATATAATCTCCCTTTAGAAAAGAATTATAACAGTAGAAGCATTTATTTACAGACGGAAGAGAAATTAACTTGTGTACAAGATACTTCTCTTCAAATCAATTCAGATCATAGATAAAATGACCCATTAATATGAAGCAGACGTTAATAAAAATAAGGGGGGTGCTAATTCGCTCTTGCACACTGTATGGATGGCCCAGTCCTGAATGCCGTTGCCTCAGAAACAGGGGTGGGCAAACTGGTGTTTTTGGACTACAACTCCCAGAATTCCTCAGGCAGCAAAATGGGCGGATGGGAGGGCGGGGAGACATTTTTTAGACTGTACACTAGTAACTCCCATGCCTGAGGGATTCTGGATTGGTAGTCCATAAAGAACACACCTATCCTATTGGTCCCCAACCTTGGCCCTCTAGATGTCCTTGGACTTCAACTCCCAGAAATCCTGGCCAGCAGAGGTGGCGGTGAAGGCTTCTGGGAGTTGTAGTCTGAGAACATCTGGAGGCCCGACGACATTGGGGACCATATGCAACAGAACCTCTTGGGGGGAGGGGAGGAAGGCAGAAGAGTAGAACGTGGCGGTCGATTCCTAGAGAGGAGAGAAGAAGGGCCGGAGTGGAACGAGGCACCGGAAGGGGCGTGTCCAGGGCTGAGGCTCCTCCCCCCTGCTCCCCCATGTGGGGGAGAAGCCAGAGGCTGGTCCCTGGAGGGGGAGCCCAGGCGGAGGGGGCTGGAGCTGCGCCCTCGTTTCCAAAGCGGAGCAGGCGGGGCGCCCCCTTTTGCTCCTTCCCGTGCTTGGGGAGGGACGCCTTTAGCTGGTTTGGTATGTCTCCCCCCCTTTCCTTCATTGGGGTGCAAGGGACCCCCAAACTGGGGG